CCTTCTTCTTCTTTCCCTTTACTACCTTCTGTAGGGGTACTTGTAGTTTTCTTTCTGTGTCTGCAACCAACACTTTTATCAGTAGAAACGTTAATATTTTATTATTCATTCTGAAGATATTCCTTCTTTGTAATGAGATATCTAGCGAAATGTAAAAAAATTTGTAGAAATTTATTTTTATGCCTAGAGGAAATACTGTTTAACGCTAAACACAATCGGTGGCCTGACGATTGCGTGTAACATTAAACAGTCTGTCACCTCTGAGTGATGACTTCAATGTTCACTTTTACATACACTCTATCTCTGATATTGGGCACTTTATCCCATAAATATAACATACGTTAAAACTATATTTCTTCGCATATATATATATATATATATATATATATATATATACCGAGTGTAACAGCAAAATTGTCCAATTTTTTGAGGAAGCTTTGAACCGTTACATCTTAGAAATGATTAAAGATATCTTACTGGAATTCTCCAAGTTTAATGTATAACACGGTTGGACGCTGATTTGAGAAATAAGAATGCATCATTACTCTCCAAGCTTAACAGAAGAATCGTAATGAAATCGATCACGAACGAAAATGACATGTTCATCATTAATTAAGCATTGCTAAGGATAGGAAGTTCAAGAAATATTGAAATTAAGTTCATATATATATATATATGTCTACGTCTGAAAATTCGACACATAATTAATGTTGATTAGAAGAAATTTATCAAGGCGTCACCCTAAGACATTGTTAGATAACAGAAGAGACGAAGACTCACAAAACTGCATCCATAATTCGAATAATTATACGTCTGCATTGATTCTTCGTGATTCATCCAAATAGGCTTCTTTACATATCGACGTCTTCACCCAAATAGAATTCACCTAAATCCATACGCATTCACCCAAATAGAATTCTTTACGTATTGGCGTCTTGACGCAAATAGAATTCATCCAAATCCATACGTATTCACCCAAAAAGAATTCTTTATGTATTGACGTTTTCACCCGAATAGAATTCACCCAAGTCCAGACGCATTCACCCAAATAGAATTCACCCAAGTCCAGACGCATTCACCCAAATAGAATTCTTTACGTATCGATGTCTTCACCCAAACAGAATCCACACAAATCCATACGTATTCACCTAAATAGAATTCCTTGCGTATCGAAATAATTCTGCCTCTATTCTATCTGCACGGTACACATTTTCTACATTTTTTTTTTAATCTATTAGCTTTATAGTTTGCTATTTTTTTTTTTTTCATTTTTACGAAGCCCTCTCTTTCATCCACATCTCCAGACACCTTAAATACACGGAGCTCTCTCTCCATCTTCTATTAGCCCAAGACTATTCTTATTCTCTTTCCAACCGGACGAGAGACGGTCACTTCAAGAAACGATTTCTATGAAGAAACCAGTTTTGTTAATTGGGCACTTACAGTCTGAGGCAAATGTTTTAGACACGGCGTGAAGTCCATTAAAAATTATATAAGTTGCAATTCGAGATTTGAACAAGAATTTAAATAGAAATAAATAAAAGAACCACAGATTTAAAGAACTTATTGATCTAAAAGATTATTCTAAGTAATACTAATATGAAAATAAAATAGTTAATAAAGAATTTATCACGAACTACACAACTTCCCGTGAGGAAATGTTTTAGTTACTTTCAACCAAATAATATAGAGAGTTTTTAATAAATAAAGTAGTAATCAAAAGATATGGACAGCAGTAATCAGCAGCAGTAATCAGAATATGACATCCGGCAGAAACAGCAGCAGCAACAGCAGCAGCAGTAGCAGTGGTTGTAAAAGCTAGGTTTAAAGCTTTGTGTTTACTCCATTAAATTTTGTCCTAGTTGGTCAAAGCGTTGCTTTGTGAATTTGGTGACATAGTCGTTGTGATTTTAATCCCTAGGTCGGGCAGTGTGTACTTGCATTCAGACTGAACAATAACTGGACAGTGCCAAATAAAATAAAATAACAAGACGATATCTGTAGAATCTACACCTGTAGATTAAAAAAAAGTGTCCAAATCGGAATTTTCCAGAGGAACATCGGAGGTCACAACGATCGAAAAGCTGTGGTAAAAACAACCAAGATGAGGACAATTGATCGGATATAAATAGGGTAAATAATGATAACTCCTCATCCCAGAACTCTTGAAAAAATAAATTAGTTTTAATAAAATACCAATTGTAAATATAAATCTTACCTAACATTTCCTTCTTAATAAAATCCAAAGAAGAAGCTGCAATATTATTGGTCTTGACTAGGCATCTCGGCTTCAGTCATTTTTTTTCATCGCCATAACGTATCTTTTCTATAAATACTTTCATTGTAATTGTTTTGTCTGAGCTTTTGTATCTCGACCTAACGAATTTAAGTGCACAGTACCAGATAAACAACTCGGTATTTTTATTGTTGAAATTGCTAGATGCAAGTTCTATCCTAATAGTTTCTTCTTTCGCACTTCTCACTTGTGGAACTTCCGGTTTCTTGCCTTTCATTTATCATTGATCTTCGAAAATTTCAACGCAATATCAGTCGTTTACTTCTGTCTTCTTAATTCCTGTTTTATTTTTCTCTTCTTAATAATGGTTTTCTATTTATCATATTCTTTCCCATTTAGTAAGTTCTTACGTCTTAGTGGCTTCAACACCTTGTTTAAGGTGAAATAATTAACGAAAATACTCATTATTCTTTCCTGACTAAAAACATAAAATTATTTGCGGAAATGCAGAAATTTAACTATCATAGATGTGATATAACAGAAGAGGGAAAACGAGACATAGAATTCCGATGATGAATTGAAATATCAAAATATGCTATTCTAAAACTAAACAAAGTATTAAGAAACAAGAAATATTCCTTAAAAACAAAGAAAAAATGCCGAAAAGTGATGTAATAACAATTTTCCTATATGGCAATGAAGGCTGGATAATTCTCTCACAGATGAAATGGAAACTTGATGCCAGAAGAAATGTAGTTCTCCAAAAGGATGTTGAGATTACTGTGGACGGACCATGTGGCCAAGGAGGAATTTTTAAGGAAAATGGTAATAGAAAGGACACGTGTATTTAGAATCAGAAATAGACAATTGAATTTTCTCTGACCTATGGTGAGGGAAAAGCTCTTGAAGAATTTGACGCACACGGGTCGTGAAACCTGTCTGACGAATTTGCGTAAATGGATGGAAGAACATGAACTAAGAAAAGAAAAAAAACAAAAGTCGCTTGGCGCTACAAAGATCGGAACTTGTAGAGAGCCATGATCAATCACGTGATCTTCTACGTGAAGAAGAAGAAGAAGAAGAAGAAGAAGAAGAAGAAGATAAAGAGAAGAATATAAATTAAAATTAAAGGAATGATCAATATTTGTTTATTTAGTTTTCCCGATACCGCCAAGCTGATCAATTGTCTGTGGACATTTATTTCGATGCAAGTCAGAAGACTGGCTTGGCCAATTGTTGATATGAACGAATACATTTTTCCTTCCCTTTGAATTGATTCCTTATTTTAATTGAGACTTTTACAGTTACCACAATAACAAACTCATCTTTCCACGCATTATCGCGCACTTAGAAAAAAAAATTAATGTGACATTTGTCTAAGAAAATAACCTTTTTTCCAGTCCATTCACTTTAGGAAGGACACTATATTTTTTCTGCATTTTATCTGTTTTGCCCGCACCTTCATTCTCCTAGTTGAAATTCAAGCCAATAATGATTTTCCAAACGTAGCTTAGATGTGGCCGAAAGTATGGGGTACCCCGTGTTGTTAATGATGACGGTCGTCTTCGAGTATAGAATCCAGAGGTTAGCAGTGAATATTTCGAAGACAGTAGGGAAGCGTAGTTCAGGTTAGCAGTGGATATCCCGGTAAAGTAGCAGAGCGTAGTTCTTCCTTCTGTTCCTCTTCCCCTGACAAGCTGGCACTGGACATTCGGATAGAGTAAACAAAATGGCCGCCTTTATACACGACGGATTGAATATTCTACGCCTTCTGATTGGTTAACCTTCTATTGGTGGACTATAAAGTGAGTCAAGTCATTTGGGCTAGCTCACTAGTTACATAATGTATCCAAAAATTGTAACACCCCGTGAGGGTCGAACTCACTACTCAGTTGTAATTGTTCTAGTAAGACAAGCTTGCTTAACCATTACACCGCCTTGAGGTACCCAATTCAAGCTAATAAATTATTTACACCCACAATATTTGTCAAATTCATGTCATTTCGAATTTTAGTGGCCATTTTCTTGGGTACTTTTTCGATTCTTTGACGATTTTTCTTTATTTGCATTTGGAAGTAGACTATCTGAAAAAAAAACCGTTCTTTCAAAATGCAATTTATAAATGCGTTGCACTCTACACTGACATTTTCCTAGCCGAGAAGAAAATTCCATTTGAGATTCAACCTCATCACAAGAAGATGCAAAGTTTTTCACCTGAAACATGTGCATTTTTAATAATAAAGTATTTAAATTGAATAAAATATGGATTTTATTTGTTACCGCATGGTATAAGTCAAATTCTGTAATTACTAAGTCATATTCAAGTGCCTCATACATTTAATCGTTTTTTTATAGTTCTTTTTACTGTTACATATTGAAGATGTATCAAAAAAATCTTTGATTTGTTGTAGTTTATTGTTATTGAAATTTTGTATAAAATCTAGACACACCCTTTTAACTTTTATTATTTTGAATGCATTATGTTTACAACCATTTTTCTTCAAAACCGAAAAACTCTGCTGAATATTTAAAACAAAAATGTCTATATAGACATTAAAGTTCTGAAAAATTAAATCACCACCCACCAAAAAAAGAAAAGAAAATCTGCGAAATCTTAATAAAATTATTTGTAAAAGTAAAGTTGAATTTATTTTTATTTTTGCTGACGAAGCGAATTTTAACCTTTTGACATTTATGTATGTCTGTGATTTCGCACTTTTTGACTTTATTAATTTCCTTCCGTATTTTATTTGCTTTGTAAAATATGCTCTGCTCTTCCACCTTTTCCAGACACTTCTTTCTTTCTTTCTTTCTTTCTTTCTTTCTTTCTATCTTCTTCTTTCTTTCTTTCCATCATTCTTTCTTCCTTATATTTTCTATTCGTTTCTTTTGTATTAACTTTATTTCTATTTTTCTTTCTTTCTTTTCTTTCTCTTTATTTTTTATTCTTTCTTTCGTTCTATTTTTCTTTTTCTTTTTTTCTTTTCCCCTTTCTTTCGTTCTTTATTTCTTTCTCGTATCTTTTTTTTTTTTTTTTTTTCTTTCTTTCTTTCTTTCTTTCTCTTTTATCAGAATTTTCTTTTTCCTCCCTTCTTCCGTTCTAATTTTCTTTTTTCCTTTCTTCTTATCTTTCTCTTTCTTTTCTTATTGCTCCATTATTTCTTTTTTTTACTATCTCTCTCTCTCTCTCTCTCTCTCTTTCTTTCTGTCTTTCCTTAGTTTTTTCTTTTTTTACCTTTCTTTTTTTCTTGTTCATATTTCTCTTACTCTTCTCTTTTTCCTTACTCCCTACTGTTGTTACCGTCAACAGATAGGTAATAAAGCTGATTCAGGCTGGTACAAGGCCAGTATGCGGAGATACACAATGAAAATCATACATATTACTCGAGCATGATACATTAACATTCTAATCTTCATTCCAAAACATTCGGAGAAAATATATTAAACATTACTTAATCTCTCATAAGGCGACAATACCGGGATACGCTAGTGAATAATAAAAATATTTAGCTCTGGTCTTGCTCACGGATAAAAGTGAAGAACATCAGGTGTGAATCTAAACCCCCATTAATGTCTTACAAAAATAGGTTTCTCACAAATCTAGTGTCGCTGACAAAACTAACCTGGCCGTTTGTCTCGAAAAGAACCTCCATTCGGTTGTGGACTGGGGCAGAAATTGGCTGGTTAACTTTAATGCCTCAAAAACAAAACTGCTCTCTATTACTCACCAGAGAGAACCATCCCTGCCCCCAATTAGAATGTCTGACGTTCAACTCCACGAGAGCTGCTCTTTGCGACTGCTCGGTCTCACATTGTCCGCTGACCTGAGATGGAACAAATACATTGTGTCTTCGTCCACCGCAAGGAAAAGTTGGCTGCCTGTGCCGCGCCAGGAAATTTTTCTCGCCAGCGTCGATCCTTCAAATCTACAAATCAACCATTCGCCCTTGCATAGAGTATTGCTGCCATATATGGTCTGGAGCCCCTTCTGTTTGTCTCAAGGTCCACGATAAAATCTAGAGACGGATATGCAATGTAATTGGCCCTGATCTAGCATCTCGTCTGCGGTCGTTCGCTCACAGACGTGCCGTCGCCTCTCTCTGTCTTTTTTTACAAATACTTTCACGGTATCTGCTCCGATGAACTGCTTTCGCTGGTTCCCAGACTTCATGAATTTAAGCGTTCAACTAGGCTGGCATCTCCCTCTCACCCTTTCACTGTCGAAACTGTCAAATATAGCCGTCTCTTCTACTCCAATAGCTTTATGTCTCGCACTTCTCGCCTGTGAAACTCCCTCTCCTTTTCCTGTTTCTCTGATAGCTATAATCTTCAACTATTCAAATGTAATGTCAATCGACGTTTCCAGATGCCTTGATCTATCCCCTATCCTTCTCTTCATCCTTTCCTCTATTTCCTCTCGCTCCAACTCTCTGTAACCCTTTGCGTGCTAGTGACCTTCCGCCATCTTTGGGGTGAAACGCTTAAAAAAAATCTACTGCTCCAAGCCGATACGACCTATAAGTTCCTAAAATGGCGTGTAAAAACAATCTGAGCCACTGAGATTAAGAAATTGTTTACTTTTTAATTAGAGGTTTAAATGCTTAATAATGTACTTTCAAAATTAGTATATGTGGTCTTTCCAGATTGCAGTGCAAGTTCTCGAATTCCTATTGCAACATGGTAATGCTGAAAATAAGGCAGGCAAATTTTAAGGACGACGAAAGGAAAACGAGCATTAATTTCTTTTATGTCTCCAGGTGCATTAAAAAGTTGTAATCTGTACTTAGTCGGTCTTCCATTGGTATAAGTTAAAGCCTAAATTCGATAAGGGCATGCGGATAATAAATTAAAAATTGTTTCATCAAGGTATTTCACTTCAGTATTAACAAACATTTTTTTTATTGTTCGAAATATATAAACGAAATCGTAGAACAATCTCTATCTATAAAACGCAGGATGTGTGAGTGTGTGTGTGTGTGTGTGTGTGTGTGTGTGTGTAACGAATGCACGGCCACAATTTTCGACGGATTTGAACCACAATTTACATGCACATGCTCCAAGTTAGTGGGAAGGCCAAGACCGATATTACATTTCCCAACTCCCATCGATAGTGGAAATAATCGATTTTTTCATGCTTCTACGGCAGTTTTCATGTAGTTTGCGGCCATTTTCTATTGGTCAGCGTGAGAGCCAACAGCTGACTGACACGAATGTTAACTAGCATGCTAGCTGCATTCGTCACAAGTGGAAAAAATTTAAATCTGCATGGCACTTTACTCCAATTGGCACATTCGCTTGCTTAAACTCAACGTTGATTCTGATTCTGCAGAACTGGGTTGGGTGTGAAAAAGTATTTGTTGTTAACATTCTTTTTTCATTCGGTTTTTCCAGTTACGAGTCCTTTTTTAAAGCTGATTGTTTTGTGTTCATTTTGTTTAGTTCTTTTTTCGTAACAGATTTAATGTTTAGTATAGAGCTTAGAAAAAATTCGCAGTGTGAGATAAGCAAGAAGTAAGGCATGTAGCAACATCAGCACGGCAGGGGGCACTTCTTTAAAGGCAAGGAAGGGCAAAAATATTTTAAGTCAAGTGATAACGATTGCTGTATGAGTCGTACGATTTTTGAATCAAGCACGGGCAACGCCGGACCATGCTGCTAGACACCTTCTGTTAAAAGTGCTATTTTTTTTTTTGTCCAAAACAATTAGGCTCGCGCCATCTACTTTCTAACTCTTATTGTATGTTTTGAATATAGTTTCTATATTTTCTTCCGGCAAATGTTCTTCTAAATATCACTTTCCCACCACTGTAAAGTTTCCTCCTGTGCCTTTTCTATGAATATTTATAAACAGTGTCAGGCGAATCAATAAAAGCTGTCGAATATTTGACATACATAGGAAGAGAGATAAATTCCACTGAAAAGGATTTGAAAATTTGTATGGCTAAAGGCCCGGCCGCTTTGAATAAAAGGTTTTTAATCTGAACAACTTTAAACGAAAACTCTTTTGAGCTATTGTTCTGGCCGTGTTAATGTATGATGACGCTGCTTGGACATTAACTAGAACCCTAAAGTCTAACCTTGATAGAACCTATATTTGAACGCTCAGAGCTAGACTTTATATCTCTTGGAGACAATATCCAACTAAATCACATCTCTATAGACTCATCCCTGATATTTCTATCTTACTTAGGGGAAGAATGCGCTTTGCAAGTGATGGCGCAAGACGGGCTGGTCGCCCCGCAAAAACATATATTGACCAGCTATATTATGGCACCAGTTATGTTATGTCACCCTAATGAACTTCCCACCTTGGGGCAGTGTCGTGATGATTGGCGTGACACACTCATGATTGTCCGGCATAGCTTGACCGAATAAAAATATTTTTTTTTTGCATGAGCTCTTCACTATGGTGTCTAGACTATATGAATCTAAGCTCAGTATTAGATTAGCAAGTAGGTTTAATCAATTCATAATCTGGTAGATGCAACCGTAAGTTCTATGCTAACAGTTTCTTTTCTCACACTTCTCGCTTGTGGAACTCTCTTCCTGTTCAATGCTTTCCAGTTAACTTTGAACTTTAAATGCAGTGTCAATTTTTATCTAGTCTTCCTAATTACTCTTCTGTTGTTCTCACTACTTAGTAATTTTTCTGTTTTATATTCTTTTCACACCATTAACGCTTTGTGTCTTAATGGATTTAATGCCTTGCTTGGGGTTAATTCGATTTTTAAAAAAATGTAATCTCTTGCATTAGTAAGTAATTCAAATTGAGTTTCTTTCTTGAAGGATATCACAGCTCACTTTTCATTATCTATTAGCAAATGTTCTTCTGTCCCGTTTTTTTTTTTTCATCTTTCCTTTATAGTTATTTTATTTCCTGGCAACGCATTCATTCATCCTATTATCCTTCTTATCGTCTGAACTGACATTCCTCTAGTAATGCTGCTTTCATCAATTGCTTGATAACACGTTAGTACAAATTTGGATAATAATAATAATAATAACCTAACTAGCTTTCTTTGATCTCTTTTACTTAATTTCAAAGGTCTACACGTTTACTCTGACCCCAAACATTCTCAATATCAGCCTGATTCTTTTGTTTAATAAGGCGCCTCCATAATTCAATCGCCTTGTCGATTTTCCGTTTTACATACATTCTTGGTGTGCGGCCATATCACGATGTAATACTGGTTCTCGTCTGATAACCAGAGTTAAACAAAGCCGAACCAGGTCAGTACTCACATGGTGTACCGCTTGGGAATACCAGATGCTGCAAGGTCGGGTGTTTGGTTGGGGTAATGAATAGCGGGGGTTACGTTGGAGTGATGGAGAGCGGCTCGGATTGAGGAATTGGGAAGCTGTGTTCGAATTCCAGTTGTGTTCGTTATACTCATCTCTTTTGACTCTAGCAGGCTCGACCTGACTCTTTTGTCTTCGATGGCAAACAGTCTAAGAGAAACCATGTGTAGCTATAGCGAAACACATACTATACAGCTAATCAAAGGATCGTAAAGTTTACAATGACACTGTGATTGCGACTGTGGTTGGGAATGGCTAATGACTGAGTTTAAATTCCAGTTGGGATCGTTAGAGACACTTACGGGCAAATATCCTTGGGAATGATACGGATCGGATTTTTCTTATCCCATATATGGATTAAATAGTAGGACTTTCATGATTATATAAAAAATAATTGCTAATACAATACTCTTTCTGGGTTATGACTTATAGCTGAAAAGCAGGGTTAGGGTTAGGGTTAGGGTTACCGTAAAAAAATCTCCAAAAAGGGTCAATTCACTCTAAAAAAAAAAATTCCTACAATCTAAAAATATGTTTTGGTTTTAAATAAATGAATAAGCCGTAAGAATAAAAAAAAATGTTTTGGCGTTAAATAATTGAATAAGCCGTAGGAAATCAATCAATTCATACATTCTAATTTATAAGAAAGGAACTGGACGGTTATTCAAATGTGCAGCGAAAATACGACCACACCCAGTTTTGGGACAGGTGATGATGATGATGATGATGATTGTGCCAAGGATCACCCTATTCTCCCGATTCATTCTTCGCATTTCCTCCTTAGATGTCATGCGTGATGCACGCTTCGGCGACCACGTCTCTTTTCGATTCATCCGAGACTTGGTAGAATAATTCCCACGGTAGACTGGTTACCAACCCAGTCTGTCCTAATATTTAACCCATAGCTGGGGAATGGGAGAATTATGAAATTTAAATCAAAACTCCGCAGACATTTTGTAGGCTTTAATATTTGGCTTTAATCTGGCTGATTTAACATGAGAAATTTCTTATGAGTATCTTAATTTTCAGAAAAGATTACCAAGGGGGAATGTTAACTTTATCTGTTATACCCCTAATACTGTGTGAATAGTCTTGAATGATCACAGACTTCATCATCATTTATTCTGTTAGCGCTTTTTTTGCAGCTGTGGTCACCGTTCCCATCCATCTCACAACTGTGGTTCAAGGGCGAATAATTCAATGTGTTGCCGATTCCTTTTGCACCGGAAATATTAAAGTTACCCCCGTCAAACGTTTCAGATGCAGTCCTACAACGCAGCAGGTTCCCCATGGGTATTGGCGCGCAAGGGAAAGAATTGAACTCGGCTGGAATTCGAACTCGTTTCTCCGATTCCTCAATCCGAGCCGCTATCCATTACGACACCGTGCCTGCAATTTACTCCACCGTGCCCCCAATACGTCATCAAATACTTTTTCCTTTCAATATATATATTCTTCCCTCGCATTAAAATTTGCCTTATATTTAAAATGAACGTCTCTGGAAATATTTATGGTTTCAATCAAGAAACTGTAATTTCAATTTAATACAAAGAAACAGTAATATTAAACACGATATAAATCAATGGCAATAGGAAGCAAAAGAAGGATAATTTTGACTTTTTGAATCTTTCATTCTATATAAAATGTAAAGGATGTTAGCGAAATTTATTAAAAATTCTATTGATTCTATTGTGACAACAGTTATAGTGTGTATTTCTTTTAAATTGTCAATGTCGTATTTTTCTGTATTCAGCCGGAGATTTCACGCTGAAAGGCACTTTGCAGCTAAGTAAACATTTTAATATCGGTCAAATATAGACATTCATTTTCACCTTCTTCTTCGTCTTCTTCGTCTTCCTCCTCTTCCTATTCTTCTTCTTCTTCTTCTTCTTCTTCTTTATGTTGTATCTATTCAGAACGTGGGCCATCATATTTAACACAACTTCCGTTCTCTGGAAGCTCTTAGCAATTTTTGTCTTTTTGCTGTCTCTCCTAATCCCCGTTCTTCCAACCATTTGCAAAAACTTGTTTGGTACGTTAGTTGCTGCACTCCTCTATGCCTCTTGCTTTCAACAGGTCCTTTGAGTGCCAAATTCTCCAAACCCTCTTTCCGCATTATGTACCCTAGACATTCCAATTGTCTCTATCTGATTCCAAGTATAAGTATCCGTTTTTTTTTTTTTTTTACTATTTTCCGTTAAACTTCGTCATTAATCCCATATTCAGTGCATTTTATACTCAGCCTCATTCTGTTGAGTCACGTTTCGGTTGCTTGGAGTCTGTTCTTCATTTGTGCAAAGATGGTCCATCATTCATTGCAATATAGGAAGACAGAAAGTACATCAGTTCAGCACTTTTTTCGTTATTCCTTGTTTAATTTTTGATGTCAACGAACACTCGTTGCCACTTTTGTAATGTCAATGAATACTCGTTGTCACTTTCCTTAAACTCGTTTGTAGTAGAGACTTTGTAATCGCAGATACAACTCTAGTAACGTTGGTGTCCGACGCCTTCGAATAATACACGCACTAAACTTTATTTTTCTGATTCTATGTGTCCCTTAATGGTATTCACAGCATCCTTCTGTAGAACAACACTTCTGTTGCCTCAAGTCACTTCTTCATCTGCGAAAAGATTCTCCAACATTGTCAAAAGTAATAGTCTAGTACTCTTTTCTTTGTTTCTAACAAACATTTCCTGTTTCTTAATCCTTTTCTTAGGAAGGCAACTTTCGCTATCCGAATGATCCTTCGGATTTTGCTAATCAGCTTTTTTGTGCGCTGTTAAAACACTTCCTAGATATTGAAAATTTTGTAATTCTTTGATTTTGTTTCCTCTGATTGGTAATTGGCATCTTCGGTTGTTTCTTTTGCTGGCAATCATACATTCCGTATTCTTGGAATTGATTGCTATTCCTTTCTATTCACTTTCCTTTATTACCTTCCATAGGTTGTAGTTTCCTTCCTGTGTCGGTTATCAATATTTTGACATCTTCAGATCTTATGTTAAGATTATGGTCGTTAATAATGAATCCTGGTAGTGTTACCGTTTTTTGGATACATGTACTAGTGAGCCAACCAAAATGAGCTGACTCGTTTTATAGTCCACCAAGAGAAGGGTTAACCAATCAGAAAGCTCAAAATATTCAATCCGATGTGTATAAAGGCAGCCATTTTGTTTTTTCTCCCAAAATATCTTCACTGCCAACCTCTGATATCGAAGACTTCAAGAATTACTTAACAGCTGCTACTTTCTCCAAAATATCTTCATTGCCAATCCTCTGATATTGAACACATTACGTACTTCACTGGATTCTATATTCAAAGACTACGGCAAACATGGTTAACAGGTAGGACTTCTAATTCTTTCACAATCGCCTCACTGTTTAGGTTGTATTGGTCCGGTGAGAAGACACATTATTGTCTTACGACTATACGTTCTATTTTTGTGTATTTACAGAATTCATTTTCTATTCATATGCTGGTGGTCTGCTTCCAAAATAAGTTCTGGAATGTTCAAATATCCTTCCCAAATAAATTAAGCTTACCCAGCAGTTCAAACGGTTATTTTGGAAGTACCTTATCAAATGCTTTTTGCACAAACTATAAAACCTACATATATTCGCGTTGCATTTGTATTGGCCTTTCTGATATCATTCTGAACCTAAATATCGCATTGCTATTTGTGAATAACCAATCTTATAGAAGTCGACAAGTGTCCAATATGCTCAAAATATTCATCTTATGTTAACATAATACTACCTTCCCGCCTATCGGAAGAGCTTTGACCGGCATGCCAACATGGCCGTCGTTCAGATCAAAGCCACTAATCTCCGTTTCCGTGGAGGTGCGGCGCTTTTGATGTCATCTAATTGGGCGGATGTCAGAAAAATAGCCTTTAACCTATCAAAGTTAGGTGAGTTAGTCCTGTGTCGATAGAGAGGTGCTCCGAGTATAAAAACCATTTGAACTAGCTTCGCTATCTTAGTTGTTTGGACATTAAGCCTAAAAGTGACTGGTCTGTTTTTTTCTTTCCGTTTATTTATTTATTTTTTTTTTTTTAACCAATGAAACTTCAAGAAATTCGTTTGTTTTGAAACAGATTTTAATGGCCGTGGAAGAATGGATAATTTCCAACAATGCACAATTTAATAAACTATAGAGAAAAGCAAATGAACTCTGACGAACCGTACGAAAGTTTGGTCTTCATCCAGAAAAGGTGATTCTAACTGAAACGAGACAAAGATGATCACCTTTCCGAGAACGAAAATATTGAGTCAATAAAAATGCATCGTATTTTTTTTTACTTTCCGTTTTAGCAAAAGATTTTTTTAACTAACAAATAGTTCTATATCGACTGGCATTTTTTTCTAAGGCACGTCATCTTATTTACTTTGTGTATTTCGACTATATTTCATAGTGTTTCTAAAGTTGTCGTCCACACATTTAGCAATATTTCTTTGCCTTTCTTCATTTTATATTCCTTTTTTTTATGTTACTCTGTTTTCTTTTATTCTCTCGATATGCTTTCCATCGTATTCTTCAAATAACATTTCTTTCTTTCATTTCTTCACTTTTATTCAGTCAATATGATTTCCATCGTACTTTTTTCAGCTTATATTCTTTTTTCATTTTCTTTCGTTTTTCTTCAGTCTATATTCCCTCTTTTTTTTTTTTTACTTTCCTCTGTTTGCTTTCAATCGTATTTTTTCAGTCTATATCCTTTTACGTTATTTTCTTTCGCTTCTCTTCAGCCTATATTCCCTCTTTTCTCTCTCCGATTTTACACTTTCTATTTGCTTTCCACCGTATTTTTTCAGTCTTTATTCTTTTTTGCAAATCTTACTTCACTTTTCTTCAGGCAATATTACTTCTTTTCTTTTTTCCGCCATTATTCCCTCTATATGCTTTTCACCGTATTTTTTCGCTCTATCGTCTTTTTTTATTTTTTAAATACTATATTTTATATTCCCTTCTGTTTTCATCTTTTCTTAATTTCTTTAAGTTTTCGTCAATCTATATTCTTTCTTGATTTTCCTATTTGGCTTCTTCTGAACTTTCTTCTTGAATCTGTTCCTTCGATTCGAACGCTAGGCCATATTTTGTTTCTTATCGTAAGCAACGCCATCTTTAGGGATATGTGTTGGCAGTTACGTTCGGATATAGATAATTATTTTTGACATTCAATATATTGGAATGATCGAAGCTTGCCAAATATCTGTCAGTTACAAAAAATGTCAGGTCATCTCTCCACCAAAGCATGACGCTGCTGGGAGGCAAAAAGAAAATTAATAAAGATGTAAAATATATATATATATATATATATATATATATAAACAAAACGACATGTCTCTGTCCAACGCTTACCATATTAGGAAATAATGTTTTTGGTAGTATTCTCTCAGAACACAAAAAAAAGTTGGTCGAAAGCCAAAAGACTTCTTTTTTAGTTACTCCACTTTCATACTTGCGCGTAAAGCTTAAAGATTACAACAGTTTCTCCACTGAGTCGAATCGCTTGCTGAGATAAAAAAAAATACTTTTTAACTTGACGTCGGATTTTGCCGAATACTTCCGAGTTTACCGGAAGTAGATTAAAGATATCCTTACATAAGTGTATAACGTACTAACTGACTGTTAAATACCATTACTAGTTAAAGGAAGGGTATTCTATTAAATAATAAAAATACTATCAGGTGGGAAAACCGGACGAAATTGCAAAGAAACAAGATGGCTTATACTCTGCATGAAAACAAAAATCTCTTGCATTGATATTCACTCTGTTTTAGCGAATCGATCACAAAACATTCTGCATTATCAATGTCTACTGCATAAACCAATTTTTTTTTAAGATTGAGATCGGGGTACGTGCAAACCATGGAACCAGTATTCCTCTATCTATCCATCTGTCATGGTAGATGTTAGCCCGTTCATCGCGAACAATGTGATTAAAATGTGCTGTAGCCACATCATGCATAAAACACAATCGTCTTTTTATTAGCAGGGGTAGATCCTCTAGCATGTCTGGAAGTATATTCGAAATAACATCCCTGCAGAAAGTGCATGTAAGACGTGCTGGGAGAACATATGGACCTACCAGACAGTTAACTACAATACCAGCCCTCACATTAACTGTAAGCTGATGTTGATGTCTAACCTCTACCATGGACATTCCGGTTCGACCACAAATGTTGTTACGTAAATTTGTTATTCCATCTCGTACAATTGTTGCCTCATCCGTAAACAAGACTGAGTGGACAAACAACAAATCGCTAGTTTGCGTAATAAACCATAGGCAAAAGTTCACCAGTGGTGAGTGATAAAAGGGCTAAAGCCCCTTCATACGTTGCATAGGATAAGGATACATGAGATGCTCTTAAAGTATCCTCCATGCAGTTCTATGAAATGTACGACATGCTGGGGTCCCTTGACGTGTGTTGATGCTTGGATTATCCCCGACAGCTTGTAGAATGTGTTCTTTATGGTCAGGCGTACGAGCCAATCGTGTCTCAGCAACGCGACGATAGACAGCAGCAATGGTTGGATGGTTCGCCTGACTTCGGCCTGGAAACGTGATATTTTACAGCCGCGCAACCTTCCGTCCATTACCATTCGCTCGGCCGTATGTAAAAAAACACTTATCTGCCTGCTCACGATATGAATATCCTGTCATTATTAAACGGAAAACTTCTCATTTAACTACAACACACATTAAACGTTGAAGACACACTAGCGACAATGGCAAATGTAACTTAGACTACAATGCAACACAGCACCATCTACCGTAAACTTTCTTTAAACTCAATAACTTAAAAATGAAGGATTTGCGGACTTATGCTTATATGGACTTTTGTCCTTGTTTTGGTGTGAGGAAGCCACCCCCAAAGTTTGTAAAAGTATTTTTGATACACCCGATATATATAAAAAAAAAAAAAAAATAACAACGAACCCAAATAAATAAAGTAAATAATAAGCAAATTAGCAAACCATTATGACCAAAATATTAGTTAGACTAAAAAATCAAACCAAAAAATCGGACGAAAAAATAGCTATAACTGTTATATAACGATAAAAAAAATAAAAATAAAGAAATAAATACTACGTTACTTAAAAATCGTAAACCGAAAAGAGAAAATATACAAGTAAAATAAATTGACCTAAATTCATCCAAGTAAATAAATAAACAAACCAATCCCGATAAAGTTACCGTTAGAAAAAAAAACAAATAAAGATAATCAACCCAAATAAACACAAATTAAAAACTGTTCCTGCCAAAATAATAGTTAGAATAAACTACAACAATCAGCCCCAAAATCTAATAAATAGCTTTAATTAAATTCTTAAGCCCAAACAAAACTATTAAATAAGTGATATAAACAAATTTTTACTACGTTAATAAAAACACCGATCAAAAAATAAATAAATAAATAAAATAAGAAACAAAAATAAATTTAAATAAAAACAAGCAAAATAATTTAATCCAAATAAATAACGAAACGACTTCCGGTAAAATAACCACCATAATAGACTACCCACAATGCACCACTGACCCGTATATATATAAATAGCCGAGAAAAATAACAGCACACGTGGCTTGACGATTGCATATAGCATGAAATAGACTGTCGCCTCTAAGTGTTGACTTCTGTGTTCACTTTTATATTTACACAGGCTCTATCTCTGATATTGATCACTTTATCCCATAAATATAGTACACCTTAATACTATATTTCTTTATATATATATATATATATATATATATATATAGCTGCAATTGGTGATTTGTACTTAATCTACATAGCAACAGTGCCATCTACCATAAACTTCCTTTCAAATTAATAACTCAAAAAGGAAGTATTTGCGGATATATGTTTATATGGATTTTTTTCCTTGTTTTGGTTGAAGGAACCCTCCGCCAGAGTTTGTAAAAGTATTTTGAATACAATCTGTATACATATCACTTTAGAAACAAAGAAAAATATTGAAATATTATATGATATCAGTCCTCCTATGTGGCAGCGAATGCCGGACAATCTCCTCACAGATGAAGAAGAAACCGAAAACAGCAGAAATATGGTTCTACAGAAGGATACTGAGGATACCATGGACCGAACATGTGGGCAGCGACAATTTTTTTTAGAGAAAATGCAACTAAAAAACACTAATACTTAACATCAAGAAAATAATGAAGAAAGCTTGCTAGAAAAAGTTGATACTCACAGATTGAAGGCTACAAAGACACGAACAATGTATAACCTACATGTGCTAATAAATGGCGGGACAAGGTTTAAGAGAGATAACAAAAAGATAAAATTTATTAACAGCTACAGAGCATAGGTAATTGTGAAGAGCCATGATCGTCAAATTCCTGAAGGTACACGGTGCATAGAATTAGAAGACGCTTGGTTCATTTTAAGACAAATCTATGAGAAAAAAGAATATTTGTTGCCAGTTATGCAAAGGCCTGTCTTAAAATTGAACATACGTACATAGTGCGGTAGTGTGAGAGAAAGAGAGGAAAAAAAAAAAAAACGATTTACAGGGTGCCCAGTAAAAAAAAAGCGGTAAATTCAGAAAGATTTCTGACAACCGTTGAAAACTGGTGACGACAGATGTGACTGAAAAATTCGCTAAGAATTTCTTCACATTTCGTCAATCCCCACATTGGATGTTCTTTGAAAAGTACGATAACTCGACGCTCAAAATCAGAATTGTTTAGTGTTATGATGTTAATTTGGGGTTAATAAAGACAAACGCCAAATAACATGTAACAATAAAATGGGGTTTATTCGGTTGGTAAGTTGGTACAGATATCGCCTGAGTAGTCTATAACTAACTCAGCTCAGAACTTCTCTACACTGTCTTTTGACATGCCACTATTTAACGTCCTTGTTTGTAGACGAGTTCATCTTCAAGAGGGGTGTTCCTACACAACATTTAGCCATACGAGAAAGGCATAACGAAAGACGAAAGTTGCCGACAAATAACATTTAAATGACGAGTCACAAAATGGAGCAGCAATTAATCAATCATAAAAGGACCAATCAGAGTTAAGTAATTACGCAAGAGTCGAATGATTATTCAAGGTCATGAATATTCAAGAAATTTATTCAAGGTTATTCAAGGTCAATTATTTCTGAAAGATGAAACAGTGATAAATGTGACACTTTTTTTTTTACTGGAAACCCGTAATAATGTTGAAGCTCGATAGAGTTAAAAATAGTGGGTGATATCAAATATTAAAGAAGAGATTCCGGTTTCATTGATTTTCTATCAATACGTTTGAGTTGAATAATCTCAAAATGATTGAAAATGGCGCCCTGAAAGAGCAAAAGAACAAGCAAGAAGAAATCGTTCGATGAAAAAAAAACTGATTGGTTGGATCAATATAAACGTTAATCGAACACTTACGGAATCATTTGTCTTCGATTAATTCCTTCACTTCTTTACTGTTTCGTTGATTTTTTTAAAAAGATTTCATTGATTTTCGTCATTATTTTTTTATCATTTCTCTTCTTTTTTTCTTCTCTTCTTTTTTTGTTTTTTTCATTTCTATTCTACTTTTCTTTCCTTTTTTCATGAACTTTCTTGATTTTCACCTTTTCTACATCTGTTTCTTTTTTTCATTCTTTTCCCTCGTTTTTTTTTGTCCTTTTTTTGTATTCTTTTTTCTTTTTATATTTATTCTATTCACTTCTTGTTCGTTTCTTTCTTTCTCTCCTTTAGCCGTTTCTTTTTTTCCTTCCACATTTCTCCTTTTCTTCTTTTACACACTTTTCTACCTCCCTCGCTTTATCTTTTTCTTCTACGATTCGTTTTTTTTCAAATTTTAAATATTTATCATTATAAATTCTTTTCAAATATTTCTTTTTCTTTCTTACTTTCTTTCTTTCTTCTTCTTCTTCTTCTTCTTCTTCTTTTTCTTCTTCTTATTTTTCTTCTTTTTCTTCTTCTTCTTCCTCTCCTCCTCCTCCTCCTCCTCCTTCTTCTTCTTCTTCTTCTATAAGTTATGTCCCTTGACGTTGGATATTTTGGCTCTCCGTAATTGCTTGTCCTTTGCAACTTCCAATAAATTTTGTCTTTTTATTATCCTTTCTAAAGTCGTAAATCCATTTACTCAAGCTCGTTAGTCAGGTCCTGCGCTGTTTTCCTCTATCCCTCTTGCCTTTAATATGTCCTGTGAGTATCAAATTTTCCAAGCCATCTTTCCTCATTATGTGCTCTAGAAATTTCAGCTATCTTAAAACCTTCTTTTTGCTGTCTTCATTTCCTAATTCTTCTTTTCCTAGCATTCCTTTTCCCGCCTTCTTTCTCTCCTTCCATTCTTCTTTTTTTCCTTCTCACTCCTTTCATTATTTTACTTGTTCCTTCCAATCGACTCGTTTATCTATTATTTAGATCCCCTTTGATTTAATTTCCTTTCCCTTCCTTCTTGCCAATTTCCTTCTCAGCAAATCCTTCCTTTCCTTCTCGTCTTCTTACCTTTCTTCTTTTTCTCCTACCATTCTTACATTTTATTTCCTTCTTTGCTTCTCACTTTCCCTCCCAATTCTTTACTTCCTTCCTTCCTTCCCTCCTTCCGACTTCCCAATCCTCCTTTTCACACTTTCCTTCCATCCTATATTTCTTTTCCTCACAATTCAGCACTTCCTTCCTTCCGACTTTCCTATCTTCCTTTTCCCACTTTCCTTCCCTCCTACTTTCTTTCCCTCCCATTTCTGTACTTACTTCCTTCCTTCCTTCCTTCCTTCCGACTTTCCTATATTTCTTTTCCCAATTTCCTTCCCTCCTACTTTCTTTCCCTCCCACTTCTGTACTTCCTTCCTTCCTTCCGACTTTCCTATCTTCCTTTTCCCACTTTCCTTCCTCCTACTTTCTTTCCCTCCCATTTCTGTACTTACTTCCTTCCTTCCTTCTTTCCTATATTTCTTTTCCCAATTTCCTTCCCTCCTACTTTCTTTCCCTCCCACTTCTGTACTTCCTTCCTTCCTTCCGACTTTCCTATCTTCCTTTTCCCACTTTCCTTCCCTCCTACTTTCTTTCCCTCCCATTTCTGTACTTACTTCCTTCCTTCCTTCCTTCCGACTTTCCTATATTTCTTTTCCCAATTTCCTTCCCTCCTACTTTCTTTCCCTCCCACTTCTGTACTTCCTTCCTTCCTTCCGACTTTCCTATCTTCCTTTTCCCTTTTCTTCCCTCCTACTTTCTTTCCCTCCCATTTCTGTACTTACTTCCTTCCTTCCTTCCTTCCTTCCGACTTTCCTATATTTCTTTTCCCAATTTCCTTCCCTCCTACTTTCTTTCCCTCCCACTTCTGTACTTCCTTCCTTCCTTCCGACTTTCCTATCTTCCTTTTCCCACTTTCCTTCCCTCCTCCTTCTTTCTTTCCCTCCCATTTCTGTACTTCCTTCCTTCCTTCCTTCCTTCCTTCCGACTTTCCTATATTTCTTTTCCCAATTTCCTTCCCTCCTACTTTCTTTCCCTCCCACTTCTGTACTTCCTTCCTTCCTTCCGACTTTCCTATCTTCCTTTTCCCACTTTCCTTCCCTCCTACTTTCTTTCCCTCCCATTTCTGTACTTACTTCCTTCCTTCCTTCCTTCCTTCCTTCCTTCCGACTTTCCTATATTTCTTTTCCCAATTTCCTTCCCTCCTACTTTCTTTCCCTCCCACTTCTGTACTTCCTTCCTTCCTTCCTTCCGACTTTCCTATCTTCCTTTTCCCAATTTCCTTCCCTCCTACTTTCTTTCCCTCCCACTTCTGTACTTCCTTCCTTCCTTCCGACTTTCATATATTTCTTTTCCCACTTTCCTTCCCTCCTACTTTCTTTCCCTCCCATTTCTGTACTTACTTCCTTCCTTCCTTCCTTCCGACTTTCCTATATTTCTTTTCCCAATTTCCTTCCCTCCTACTTTCTTTCCCTCTCACTTCTGTACTTCCTTCCTTCCTTCCTTCCGACTTTCCTATATTTCTTTTCCCACTTTCCTTCCCTCCTACTTTCTTTCCCTCCCATTTCTGTACTTACTTCCTTCCTTCCTTCCTTCCTTCCTTCCGACTTTCCTATATTTCTTTTCCCAATTTCCTTCCCTCCTACTTTCTTTCCCTCCCACTTCTGTACTTCCTTCTTTCCTTCCTTCCGACTTTCCTATATTTCTTTTCCCCCTTTTCCTTCCTCCTACTTTCTTTCCTCCCATTTCTGTACTTACTTCCTTCCTTCCTTCCTTCCGACTTTCCTATATTTCTTTTCCCACTTTCCTTCCCTCCTACTTTCTTTCCCTCCCACTTCTGTACTTCCTTCCTTCCTTCCTTCCGACTTTCCTATATTTCTTTTCCCAATTTCCTTCCCTCCTACTTTCTTTCCCTCCCACTTCTGTACTTCCTTCCTTCCTTCCTTCCTTCCGACTTTCCTATTTTCTTTTCCCAATTTCCTTCCCTCCTACTTTCTTTCCCTCCCACTTCTGTACTTTTCCTTCCTTCCTTCCTTCCTTCCTTCCTTCCTTCCTTCCTTCCTTCCTTCCTTCCTTCCGACCGACTTTCCTAACTTCGTTTTCCCACTTTCCTTCCCTCCCACTTCTGTACTTCCTTCCTTCCCTCCTTCCTTCCTTCCCTCCTTCTTTCCTTCCCTTCTTCCGACTTTCGTATCTTCCTTTTCTCACTTTCCTTCCCTTCTACTTTCTTTCCCTCTCACTTCTGTACAGCCTTCCTTCCCTCCTTCCTTCCGACTTTTCTATCTTCCTTTTCCCACTTTACTTCCCTCCTACTTTCTTTTCCTCCCACTTCTGTACTTCTCTCCTTCCTTCCTTCCTTCCTTTCGCCCTTATTTTCTTCATTCAATTCTTTATTTTTCTTTTTTTTCGCTCCTTCTTCCCTCTCACATTCCTCCACACTTTCTTTCCCTACCACTTCTCTCTTTCATTCCTTCTGTTCTTTCTTGTTTTTGTCATTCCATTATTAAATTTTCTTTTTTTCGTTCCTTTTTCCCTCTTACTTTCCCTCCCACTTTCTTTCCTTCCCACTTCTTAAAATATTTACTTCCCACTTTTTTCTTTTTTTCGCTTTGAATTCTTTTCTTGCTTCACACCTTCTTACCTTCTACTTTATTCTACTTCTTTCTTTCTCTCCTTCTTTTCTTTTTTCGCCTTGTATTTTCTCTCCCTTCCATTAGCCCTTTCTTCTTAGCTTCATTCATTACTTCCCACTTTCTTTCTTTCGCTTTCTTTTTTTCTTCCTTTTGATACCCCTCCCCCATATTATCCTACTTTCTATCCTTTAATTCTTCTTTCATTTCCCAATTCATTTTCTTTTTTCCTTGCTTCCGATCAACCCGCTTATCTCTTTGCCTTCTATATTTAGTCAACCATCTTCGATCAAATCCCTGAATTATACCCGAACTTACTTTTATCTCTGCTAACGTTCAGTCGCGATGGGACACGAGCTTCCAGACGGTAACAAAATCGCCGCCATTTAATCACAGTGAAAAGAAAGAATGAGCCTCCATTCTAACAACAACCAACAATTCATGTATCATAAAACCAAGAGACTTCAGGCAACATTAGGGGAAAAAATATCTCAAGAAACAAGATATAGGTCAGAAAAATAAAACTCGTCCAACGTTTAAATTCGTCGAATGGTACTCCTTAATTTCTTTCCGTGTCTGTGTTAGAACGAAAGTTGTTTGTTCGGTCTAGTTAAGTATTCGAAACACCTACAAAATAACAAGAGCGAGGCTCCTTCTCCAAGCACACAAATCTCCATCAATATTTTATCGTTATAGGTTTTTTATGATTAAAAAAAAAATTAGCAATTCTGTTTTAGGACACAATTTCAGATTGGGCGTTTCTTCCCTCTACACCGATTTCTTGGTATTTTTCATTGTTCTCTTCCTTGTACCTGCTTCATCGTTTGTTCCTGTTGTCATAACTGTAAGTAAAGTACGGTGTACCTCGACAGAAGTCCTCTCTCATCTCCGCGATGGTCTACTTATTCGCACAGATGATAGGCATACTCAAAATGGAGCACTAACACACCCGGATGTCCCTCCTCGATTCCGTCCAACCACACTAATATTATACACAGTTGCTAATGAACTAATTGCTTGTGGAACAACAAAGAAGGGTCTCTTTTGATGGGACGACGTACTCGCCTTCTCTCAAATCGAACTCCTACATGGCAGATAAAGACTAACTCTCTTTCATCAAGGATAAGGCAAATCCTGTTTACCATTTCTACCATTCGACTCTGGCTCTGGTTCATTATGTCTGCCACAGTTTTCGATCTAGATTTCAAGGAATTTATAATTTTGGTTAATCACAAAGAATTGGCTCTATAAAATACTAAAAGCATTGATTCCTCTTTTCCAAAACATAGAAATTGTTCTTTTTTCGATTAAAATCTTTAAATTTCTGTTGACTTTTAATGAAAGTATTACGTATGCATCTCGTTATTATAACATAAACACCACAAGGGCCACAAGTAATCAGAGCAAAGAAAGACATAATTTAAAAAATAAAAAATTAATTCTGCATTATTTCGCTTGCAAGAATTTTCAGTGAATCTAAAGAAATTAAGTAACATGTATAATTTACAAATATGTTTCATATTTATTCATGACTAGCAGGAGAGCCCGGCGTTGCCCGGGGATGTAATATAAAAATTTTATTTTTATTTAAAGAAAGAGTTAAAAAAATGTCAATTTAAATATATGACCGTCTAGGTGTTGTTTTTTTGTTTTTTTTTTCTTTGTTTATTTACACGTCTTTTGAGGAAGGTGTATTTTTTTTGTAAGCCGGACGGTGTGTGTAAAAAGAAAAAAACTGTGCAATTTTTATGACCATTTCGGATCAAGATTTGCCGCCAAAATTGTTTGCCAAACTCTGATTTTCTTGTGTAAAATTTATGACCCTTTCGGATCAGGAATAGCCGCCAAAAGTGAAATTTTTAGAAGGGCCTTTTTTCATATATTGGCCAATGAAAATTGAGTTTTCGAGGCCCGTAGAGATTCCGGATGGCCCCAAGTGGAGCCGACTTTTCCAAATAAAAGAGAGGACATTAAGAAACGATCAGTGGAAGCAAAAAAATAACGAAAGGGGAACAGAGGCAGAGACGACACGCAGTTCGCAGACCACTTAACACCAACACTCTACATTGACCGGCAAGTGGGCCATAAATCAGCCTTTCTCCAACTACCTAACCAAACCAATCCGGCCTGCTGTCAATGAAAATTCTTCAAAGAAAGTAGAACCAACCTTCTCCAAACCAATCCGGCCTGTAGTCAACGAAAATTCTTCTAAGGAAGGAGGTGGGTGCCTTGCGTTCTGCTATGTGTTGGTCTCTCTAAAAACTCTGTCCCTTTTTTATGTACTTTTGTAAAAGCTCTAAAACTTTATCACTTTTTTTGGTATTGTTGTAAAGGGTCTGAAAACTTTATCCCTTCTTTTGGTGTTTTTTGTATTTTTGAAGGGTCTGAATTTTCAAAAACCGGAGTTAAAGTAAACAATTATTAATTTCATAGCTTGTTTCTATGGGTATTTATTTCCTTTTTAGAAACCCCAGTTATCCTGCCATGTTAGGCGCACAGAAGGAAATTTTTGTGCAACCTTTCTTGTCCTTGTTTGTACCTTTGTGATTATTGTAAAGTAATTGTACAATAAATGTTTTTTCCTGTTTTGAAATTTTACGCAGTGATTTGTCTTGTATTTTTAACTCGCGCCTACTAACGACAGTTATCGTTTATTCTGCCAACTAAATTTTGTGTCTGGCACAAGGAGTTGGTAGGAGAGTGAAAAGAAAAAAAAACAAAAAAAATTTTATAGTAACAGTAAGAGATAGATCAAGTATCGACCATCATAAAGACTGAAAAATAAAATTGACAAAGATTATTGTTTAAGGTTGACGGACACGCATGTCTTAATTAGTTTTATTTTTTTGTTTTTTGGGGGTTTTTTTTACGAATTGGTCAAACCCAAACTCAAACAAAAACATTGTTTTCAATCGTTATGAGTATCTACCGATTGAATAGAATTTTATTATAAACAATTGTCTTGTAAATGGAATTTTGGAAGCATTCTGAATGTAAAAATAACGAAAAAAGTGTGCAAGACAATAAGAAAGACTACCTGCCAAAAAAAGTGAAGTTTTGTTGAAATCGGTTGAAAAATGTAGGAAATCCGATCCCAACACACACACACACACACACACAAACAAACAACCTGGGTTTTATAATAAGTATAACTCGATAACTCGATATTAATAAGTATAACTCGATATGAGTTGTCCCCCTTTCATTAATGCCTCTTAATCGTGTTTTCAAAATGATTTCGTGCAAAAACAATTGTGTTTTTCCTTTTTTTTTTTTTTGGCGCTATCAGAACCACCGCAAGGTAATTTTACGTAGTCCTGTGAAGTTTTGTTGAAATCGGTTGAAAAATGTAAGAAATCCGATCCAATATATAAACGTACAGACACACATACACACACACACACACACACACACAATCTGCGTTTTATAATAAGTAAGATTCATACGCAGAAAAGCAATAATCAAAAGAAAAGTTTGCTATTTCTAATATTCAACGCTTGAATTATCTGAATAATAATAATAATAATAATAATAATAATAATAATAATAATAATAATAAACCGCTTCATGGCCAATACTCTCACCGTACCAAACAAGCTGACGTAGACAAAACCCGTACCTATCAGTGGCTACGTAGTGCAGGAATGAAAGCTGAAACTGAAGGTTTTATCCTTGCTGCACAGGACCAATGCTTGCTAAGTAGGAATTATCAAGCACATATTCTAAAATATTGTGTTAGCCCAAAATGCAGATTCTGTGATAAATATCCAGAAACGATTGATCATCTTGTATCAGGTTGCACGATATTGGCACCCACTGAATATAAAACCCGGCATGACAGAGTGGGCCAATATCTGCACTGGAAAATCTGCAACTTCTACCGGAAGGAAACTGAAAGAAAATGGTATGAACACCATCCAGACCCAGTTAAGGAGATACGACCTGTTACAAATCTATGGGATTACACAATACACACTGACAGAACAATCAAAGCCAACCGCCCAGATATTGTTGTTAAAGACCACAAACAAAAACGGTGCCTCCTTATTGATATGGCAGTCCCTGCTGACTGCAATGTATCTTTGAAGATATTCAAAAAGTTGTCAAAATACAAGGACCTTGAAATAGAAATCTCGAAAATGTGGCATATGGGAACATCAACAATCCCTGTTGTATTTGGAGCCCTAGGATTGGTTTGAAAAGATTCCAGTAGACTAATTGAAGGGATTCCTGGAAGACCATGCCTCAAAGAGATACAAAAATTGCTCTGACAAGTACAGCCCACACTTTACGAAGGGCTTTATCTATGTAATTTTTTTTTTGTCAGTGGAAAGTGTCATGATGCCATTTCTAACCTTAGTTCCCTGGGCGGGACCCGGAAAGAAATGTGTAAACGCCAGAAATCAAGAAAATAATAATAATAATAACAACAACAACAACAAAAAACGAAGTGAATACCATCAATGCCAAACGAGTAAAACAGAAAGCAAAACAACTTGAACAAATTAAATAAAAAAAAAAAACTGGGAGGACAAGGCGTTGCATGGCAAATACCTAAAAGAACGAAAGTAGATGTGGACCAACAGAAAACACATCAGTGGCCGAGGAGCATCGGGTTGAAAGGTGAGACAGAAGGTCTGATTATTGCAGCTCAGAACAAAAGCCTCGCAACCAGATCCTATCACTTTCACATAATCAAAGATGGAACTAACCTGAAATGCAGGATCTTCGGAAAATATGATGAAACGATTGACTATATTATCTGAAAATGTCCAGAACTAGCAAAAAGATATGCAGGAAGCACAAAATCAAAACCACTGAGAGATGATATAACCCCCAACCAGACACAATTACCGCAAATAACTATGTAACTGTTGTCTTGGACATGTCCATTCAAACCGGAAATAAAAGCCAACAGACCTGATATTATCATAAAAGACAATAAATTCAGAAAGTGTATGCTTATTGACATAGCAATAGCACCTGATAGAAACAATCCCATAAAATCTTTTAAAATAGTAATAATAACATAAAAATATTTCAAAATAATATATATATATATATATATATATATATATATATATATATATATAATATTTGGAAAATAATATTAATAAAATATATAAATTATTTTAAAAAGTTAATAATAATGAAAATAAGAAAACAAACAATAAGGGATTTGATGCGGCACTAGGCATAGATCTAATAGCTTCTGATCTTAATTTTTGCGAGGTTTTGACGTGTTAATAATAATAATAATGCCGAACGATGAAAC